TACACACACACACACACACACACACACACACACACACACACACACACACACACACACACACACACACTCACCCACAACACACACACACACACACCACACTCACCCACACACACACACACACACCCACACACACACTCACACACACACCACACACACTCACACACACACACATACACACACACACACACACACACACACACACACACACACACACACCCACACACACACACACACACACAAACACACACACACACACACACACACACAACACACACACACACACACACACACACACACACACACCCACACACACACACACACACACACACACACACACACACACACACACACACACACATACCACACACACACACACACACACACATACACACTCACCCACACACACACCACACACACACACACTGACGTTGCCACTAACACTGGTTGCTTCTAGCTGCTAAAACACGCCCTAAAAGCACTAAGATCCTCGGAGCCTGGCGCTTGTGACCCACTACACTGTCTCCACCAAGGCTCTCCCTCCCCCAACCCCAATATACTTGCACGACCACAATGATAGAAAAGAAACTAAAAGGTTTGGTACACAAACGCGGATGGAATAACGAATAAACATGAGGAGTGGAATGAAAGAATCAGTGAAAAATCCCCAGACATCATAGCAGTCACAGAAACAAAACTCGCTGAGATAATAACAGACACAATCTTCCCAACAGGATATCAGATCCTGAGGAAAGATAGAAGGAGTAGAGGGGGAGGAGGGGTCGCACTGCTCATAAAACACCAATGGGGATTTGAGGAAATGGAAGGCATGGACATGATTGGAGAAAGAGACTACATTGTAGGTACAATTCAGTCCGGAGAACATAAAGTAGTCATTGGAGTGATGTATAACCCACCACAGAACTGCAGGAGGCCAAGAGAGGAAATACGAAGAAAACAACAGGGTGATGGTGGACACACTGGCTGAGGTGGCAAGAAGAGCTCACTCGAGCAGAGCAAAGTTACTGGTAATGGGCGATTTCAACCACAGGGAGATCGACTGGGAAAACCTGGAGCCACTTGGGGGTCCCGAAACATGGAGAGCCAAGATGATGGATGTGGTACTTGAAAACCTCATGCATCAACATGTCAGGGACACAACCAGAGAGAGAGGGGAGGACGAGCCAGCAAGACTGGATCTTGTGTTCACCCTGAGCAGTTCAGACATCGAGGACATCACTTACGAGAGGCCCCTTGGAGCTAGCGATCATGTGGTTCTGAGTTTTGACTATATAGTAGAGTTTACAAGTGGAGAAGGTAACAGGAACGGAAGGGGACAGGCCAAACTATAAAAGGGGGGACTACACAGGTATGAGAAACTTCCTGCAGGAGGTTCAGTGGGACAGAGAAATGGTAGGAAAATCAGTAAACGAGATGATGGAATATGTGGCAACAAAGTGCAAGGAGGCAGAGGAAAGTTTTGTTCCCAAGGGAAACAGAAATAATAGGAAGACCAAGACGAGTCCTTGGTTTACCCGAAGTGTAGGGAGGCAAAAACTAAGTGCAACAGAGAATGGAAAAGGTACAGGAGGCATAGGACCCAGGAAAACAAGGAGATTAGTAGAAGAGCCAGAAACGAGTATGCGCAGATAAGGAGGGAGGCCCAGCGACAGTATGAAAACGACATAGCATCGAAAGTCAAATCTGACCCGAAACTGCTGTATAGCCACATTAGGAAGAAGACAACAGTCAAGGACCAGGTGATAAGGCTGAGGAAAGAAGGTGGAGAACTCACAAGAAACGATCAAGAGGTATGTGAGGAGCTCAACACGAGATTTAAGGAAGTATTTACAGTAGAGACAGGAAGGACTCTGGGGGGACAGACCAGATGGGGACACCAACAAGGAATACACCAACAAGTGTTGGACGACATACATACAGATGAGGAGGAGGTGAAGAAACTGCTAAGGGACATCGATACCTCAAAGGCAATGGGACCGGACAACATCTCTCCATGGGTCCTTAGAGAGGGAGAGATATGTTGTGCGTACCACTTACCACAATCTTCAACACGTCCCTGGAAACTGGGCAACTACCTGAGGTATGGAAGACAGCAAATGTAGTTCCCATTTTCAAAAAAGGAGACAGAAAAGAGCACTAAACTATAGGGCCTGTGTCATTGACGTGTATAGTATGCAAAATTATGGAGAAGATTATCAGGAGGAGAGTGGTGGAGCACCTGGAACGGAACAGGAGTATAAATGCCAACCAGCACGGATTCACGGAGGCAAATCCTGTGTCACAAACCTTCTGGAGTTTTATGATAAAATAACAGAAGTAAGACAAGAGAGAGAGGGGTGGGTTGATTGCATCTTCTTGGACTGCAAGAAGGCCTTTGACACAGTTCCTCACAAGACATTAGTGCAGAAGCTAGAGCATCAGGCGCATATAACAGGAAGGGCACTGCAATGGATCAGAGAATACCTGACAGGGAGGCAACAACGAGTCATGGTACGTAATGATGTATCACAGTGGGCACCTGTGACGAGCGGGGTCCCACAGGGGTCGGTCCTAGGACCAGTGCTATTTTTGGTATATGTGAACGACATGACGGAAGGGTTAGACTCAGAAGTGTCCCTGTTTGCAGATGATGTGAAGTTAATGAGGAGAATTAAATCTGATGAGGACCAGGCAGGACTTCAAAGAGACCTGGACAGACTGGACACCTGGTCCAGCAAATGGCTTCTCGAATTTAATCCTGCCAAATGCAAAGTCATGAAGATAGGGAAGGGCACAGAAGACCACTGACAGAGTATAGGCTAGGTGGCCAAAGACTGCAAACCTCACTCAAGGAGAAAGATCTTGGGGTGAGTATAACACCGAGCATGTCTCCGGAAGCACACATCAATCAGATAACTGCTGCAGCATATGGGCGCCTGGCAAACCTGAGAACAGCATTCCGACACCTTAGTAAGGAATCATTCAAGACACTGTACACCGTGTATGTCAGGCCCATACTGGAGTATGCAGCACCTGTTTGGAACCCGCACTTGATAAAGCACGTCAAGAAACTAGAGAAAGTACAAAGGTTTGCAACAAGGTTAGTTCCAGAGCTAAGGGGAATGTCCTATGAAGAAAGATTAAGGGAAATCGGCCTGACGACACTGGAGGACAGGAGGGTCAGGGGAGACATGATAACGACATATAAAATACTGCGTGGAATAGACAAGGTGGACAAGGACAGGATGTTCCAGGGAGGGGACACAGAAACAAGAGGCCACAATTGGAAGTTGAAGATACAAATGAGTCAGAGAGATAGTAGGAAGTATTTCTTCAGTCATAGAGTTGTAAGGCAGTGGAATAGCCTAGAAAATGACGTAGTGGAGGCAGGAACCATACACAGTTTTAAGACGAGGTTTGATAAAGCTCATGGAGCGGGAGAGATAGGGTCTAGTAGCAACCGGTGAAGAGGCGGGGCCAGGAACTAGGACTCGACCCCTGCAACCACAAATAGGTGAGTACACACACACACACACACACACACACACACACACACACACACACACACACACACACACACACACACACACACACACACACACACACACACACACACATACACACACACACACACACACACTCACCCACACACACACACACACACAAACACACACACACACACACACACACACACACACACACACACCACACACTAACCCACACACACACACACACACACACATACACACACACACACACACACACACACACACACACACACTCACCCACACACACACACACACACACACACACACACACTCACACACACACAAACACTGACCCACACACACACACACACACACACACTCACCCACACACACACACACACACCCACACACACACACACCACACACTCACACACACACACATACACACACACACACACACACACACACACACACACACACACACACACACACACACTCCGACAGGAGAGATAGGGGGGACATGATAACGACTTACAAAATTCTGAGAGGAATTGACAAGGTGGACAAAGACAGGATGTTCCAGAGACTGGACACAGTAACAAGGGGACACAGTTGGAAGTTGAAGACACAGATGAATCACAGGGATGTTAGGAAGTATTTCTTCAGCCACAGAGTAGTCAGGAATGGAATAGTTTGGGAAGAGATGTAGTGGAGTCAGGATCCATACATAGCTTTAACCAGAGGTACGATAAAGCTCATGGTTCAGGGAGAGTGACCTAGTAGCGACCAGTGAAGAGGCGGGGCCAGGAGCTTGGACTCGACCCCTGCAACCTCAACTAGGTGAGTACACACACACGTTAATGTATAATAATCATTACGCAGTCATAAATGGTTATCACGAGAACCTATATGTATTTCACAGCAATAATAATGAAATATTTTCATATTCATCAGAAATGAATGATAAAACATCAGTGAAAATGTACGTAATGATTATTGAAGCTGATTATCAGCATTACGGATAGCAATGATGATAGAATTACTTTTAAAATTAATTATTTATAAATTGAAATGAAATGCAAGTAAAACCTTTACAACAGTCTTTAACCCTAATAATAAAAATAATAAAATAATAATAATAATAATAATAATAATAATAATAATAATAATAATAATAATAATGACAAAAATAACAATAATAATAATAATAATAATAATAATAATAATAATAAAAATAATAATAATAATAAAAATAATATTAATAATATAATAAATAATAATAAAAATAAAATAATATAATAATAATAATAATAATTATCATTGATAATGATTAGCTGTTACAACAGTCCTACACTCCAGTACCTTCCCCTCTACCCAGACGACCAGTACAACACCCTGCTAACTCTCCACCTTTCTTCACTAGACCGCCAGTATCACACCCCAGTAACTCCCCACTCTTCTCCCCACAGACGAACAGTTCCCCACCCTAATAACTCCCCACTCTTCTTCCCACAGATGGCAAGTATCACATGACTAGCGAGGGAGAGCTTCACGTGCTGGAAGTTGGTCCTCAAGATGGTCTCTCCAAGTTCCAGTGTCGCACCCTGCACCAGCTGACTGGCAGTAGCCAGCTGTCCCGCACCCCAGCTAGAATCATTATCACAGGTGAGATATGTCTCTTTTTTATCTATTTGCATCTTTGTCTCACTCTCCACCAGCTGATGGGCCAGATGTCTCGCATCCCTGGCCATGAGAATTATCTCAAATGAAGCGTATCTCTCAAGGTTTAATAAGTGTCTGCTTTTTCTGAAGCTGTTTTTTAACGCTTTTCCCTGTGGAGTGAGCTGAGGCAGAAGCTGTGTTGCATAGTATCACCGTTATCACTTTCCTCAGCACTTAAGGTGTGTTGCATAGTACCTCGGTCATCACCTTCCTTAGTACTCAAGCTGTGTTGCAAAGTACCTCGGTCATCACCTTCCTTAGTACTCAAGCTGTGTTGCATAGTACCCCGTCATCACCTTCCTTTAGTACTCAGGCTGTGTTGCATAGTACCCCCGTCATCATCTTCCTCAGTACTCACGGATACCATCTTCTTGCCTCCAGTCTTATTTTATGCATGAAAGATGGACGCTGGAAGGCACACACGATCCACCCAATATTTTTGCCCTTTGTCGGTTCTTTGTTCTTCGCGTCTCGCGCGTAGTTTTCTCGCGCGTTTCCCCTTCGTATCATCGCTGGTCGACTTCACGCCTTTTTTTTTTATCCTCCCGGTGCTCTTAGGTTTCAAATTTACGGACTGGTATCATCCCCGCGCCATTTTGGAGGCTGCCATATTGTCTCTAGCCTTCCAGTCTTTCACAGACACTAGTATTATATAACGTTGATAATTATATTCTCAGTATCTTGATGCCGTGAGATTTTTTTTTATCACATTATTTACACAGTTTATAACTTTATCTCATCATCCTCAGTTTTTCTGCGTCTGTTAAATGCCAGCCGCGACATTTTTCTGTAATTATTTACCAAACTCTATATTTTCCCCTGTTTATTTACCATCCTCCATATTTTCCTGTAATTAATTATTAACCTCCACATTTTCCTATAATTAATTACCAACCTCCATATTTTCCCTCACTTACCAACCTCCATATTTTCCCTCACTTGCCAACCTCCATATTTTCCCTCACTTACCAACCTCCATATTTTCCCTCACGTACTTACCAACCTCCATATTTTCCCTCACTTACTTACCAACCTCCATATTTTCTATCTCACTTTCCAGCCTCCATATTTTCCTACGTTATTTTAGCCATCTCATATTTTCTCAGGCTCACTTGGCACCGGTGACCCGGTGGCCTGGTGGCTAAAGCTCCCGCTTCACACACGGAGGGCCCGGGTTCGATTCCCGGCGGGTGGAAACATTTCGACACGTTTCCTTACACCTGTTGTCCTGTTCACCTAGCAGCAAATAGGTACCTGGGTGTTAGTCGACTGGTGTGGGTCGCATCCTGGGGGACAAGATTAAGGACCCCAATGGAAATAAGTTAGACAGTCCCCGATGACGCACTGACTTTCTTGGGTTATCCTGGGTGGCTAACCCTCCGGGGTTAAAAATCCGAACGAAATCTTATCTTATCTTACCGTCACATTTTTGTTCCCGCTCTATTTTCGCGCCTTTATATCTTCCCGCGCTTCTTTTCCCGCCCTTTATATTTTCCCTCGCTTTTTGCCCGCCACCTAATATCCCCGGGTTAATTTCATCTCTGTAGGATTTCTCAGTTATTCATGCGCGGAAATCTTCGCAAATTGCCATCTTGTTTTCATCCCAACTTTTAACTTCTTAAAAAGGAAAGATGATTGTCATTTCAAGTTCTCGTTAGTGTTTTATACGGACGCAAACAAGATGAAGAAGTTCTCGACGAAGTTTGTCCGGTTAAATAAGAAAATGGATTTTTGATAAAGTCCCATTTAGAGAGTTACGAATACAAGTTCAGGTTTTAGCTGCGTAGGGAGACGAGGCTCGTAATTATGCAGTCAAGAGCTCTTAGTTTTACACTTGGTAAATATGAACGTCTTGAATGTCTGTACATGTGAATCACTGCAATTAGTTGGATGTAATGGCTTAGTTAAGTCTGCTGGCTTCTGACCGTCTGCTTTTTTATTCAGGGCTTTGGATCATTGTGTATTCAGGCACGTATGTATGCATGTATTAATTCTTTGATATGTAGGCTCATTTTTTTCCCGTCCCCCTTTAGTGATAAAATCATAAATGATGCAGTTTATATTTGAACATTTATAAAAAAATACCATGGCAACAGGAAACACCTGAGGAGGAGGCGGAGGAGCACTGCTGTGGACCTACCGGTCTACTTCATGAATGTGACTCTAAAATCCAACCTCACACACACACAAATATACATTTATCCAACATATGTATAAAATTCGAGACAAATTGTTTTCATTTTTTTTATATATATTTGTAATCAAGCGTTTTATTGTGATTTCTTCCATTTGTATGTGTATGTGTGTGACAGAATCAGCCGATTGGCAAATATACAATGTGCGTGTATACAGCGTGTGTATATACAACGTGTGTATATACAACGTGTGTATATATAACGTGTATATATGTGTATGAGAAATGGACACCCATTCTTCTTCTCCCGCCCAAAAACCATCAAAAGGAATTCGAATGATAAATTAAGGAGGGAAGAATGACTGGAAACAGAGGACAGGTACGCGACTTTAACACATTCCTGGATGAATCTTGGAGGAAGCAGGTATTTCCCATGTCCGGGGATACACCTTGAAAGGGGAAGGCCTTTCTGTGGGCTGACTTTGGAAGGAGCAGACCTTTTCCAAGTCCGTTCGTGGACCTTGGAAGGAGTAGGTCTCACTCCCACCCTTAGATGGACTTTGGAAGAAGCAGGCCTTTTCCAAGTCCGTGGGTGGATCTTTCAGGGAGTAGGTCTCACTCCCACCTTTGGAAGGACCCTTTGGGAAAGGGGCAAACCCAGTCTATTTTCCCCCCAACGCTTTTCCCTCATCCACCTGACGGAAGGGTCATCAGGATTAAGATCTCTGATAGCAGTATCCTAAAAGCTGAGCGAGCAAGGGCCTCTGAGCCCAGCTGTATTCCAGACATGAGATTCTCTATCCACTCCGATCGAATTCAATTCCCGGCCACTCGTTATGAGATCCAGCTTGATGCCTAGTCGTATGTCACGGGAATTATTCCCAGTCCTAGTCGTTCGTCATGAAGTCCACTCCCATTTCCAGTCACTCGCGTTATCAAGAACCATTCCCAGTCACTCATCCGGAGATCCAATACCATTTCCAGTCTCTCAGATCCCATTCCCAGTCGCTAACCCTGAGACCCAATCCAATTTACAAACACCGAAGTCTATTAACATATATTTGAAGATCAGCTGTGCTTGCCGTGAGCTGGAAGGTCGAATATTGGTTCTTAAAGTGGAGAATATTGTCCTTGCGGAGTTGCAGAGTATTGATCACGTGGAATTTGAGAATATCTCATTTAACGAGTTTAAGAATGTTACCCTAATGGAAATTTGAGAGTTCCTCCATTAAGGAGGAAAGTGAAAAACTGTTCTTCCTTATAGAATTTGAGGAACATAACTGTTGCTGAATTATAGATAATACTCGTATTATAGGACTTTTGCCTTTACAGATTTTATAAATCTTTACTTATGAAATTTTAAATTATATGTGATCAAGTAGTGAATAAATTATTTCAGAATTATAGGTTTCGTGTGCATGAAAATATATATATATATATATATATTATATATTATATATATATATATATATATATATATATATATATATATATGTATATATATATATTATTATAATATATATATATTTATTAGTGTGTGTGTGTGTGGTGTGTGTGTGGTGTGTGTGTGTGGTGAGTGTGATGTGTGTGTGTGTGTGTGTGTGATGTGTGTGTTGTGTGTATGTGTGTGTGTGTGTGTGTGTGTGTGCCTGGTTGTGTATGCTACCTCCAGCTCTTTGGTCTGGCTCTTTTTCTGTTCTTCTTTGTAATCTACATTTATCAGTTACTTTCGATTAGACTCTAATGTCGTCACTTTTTTCTGACACTCTTGTTAACTCTGCTGGGTGTTCAACTCTGCTGGGTGTTCAACTCTGCTGGTGTTCAACTCTCTGGGTGTTCAACCTGACTCTGCTGGGTGTTCAACTCTGCTGGGTGTTCAACTCTGCTGGGTGTTCAACTCTGCTGGGTGTTCTACTCTGCTGGGTGTTCACTCTGCTGGGTGTTCACTCTGCTGGGTGTTCAACTCTGCTGGGTGTTCAACTCTGTGGGTGTTCAACTCTGCTGGGTGTTCTACTCTGCTGGGTGTTCAACTCTGTTGGGTGTTCAACTCTGCTGGGTGTTCTACTCTGCTGGGTGTTCTACTCTGCTGGGTGTTCAACTCTGCTGGGTGTTCAACTCTGCTGGGTGTTCTACTCTGCTGGGTGTTCAACTTGTGGGTGTTCAACTCTGCTGGGTGTTCAACTCTGCTGGGTGTTCACTCTGCTGGGTGTTCAACTCTGCTGGGTGTTCAACTCTGCTGGGTGTTCACTCTGCTGGGTGTTCAACTCTGTGGGTGTTCAACTCTGCTTGAGTGTTCACTCTGCTGGGTGTTCTACTCTGCTGGGGTGTTCACTCTGCTGGGTGTTCACACTCTGCTGGTGGTGTTCAACTCTGCTGGGTGTTCAACTCTGCTGGGTGTTCAACTCTGCTGGGTGTTCTACTCTGCTGGGTGTTCAACTCTGCTGGGTGTTCAACTCTGCTGGGTGTTCAACTCTGCTGGGTGTTCAACCTGCTTTGGGTGTTCAACTCTGCTGGGTGTTCAACTGTGTCCCTCATCCAGTACAAGAAATAGCATTACAACTATCATCACTATCATTATCACCATTACTACTACTATTACTACCACCATACAACTATTTTCCATTCCTTCAATACTACCATCATTCACTAATACCATTATTATCACCAGTAACCTCCACCACCAGCACCACACTACGATCGTCACGGCTGTTATCACCACCACAACTATCATCACCAGCTGGTGTTGTCTGGTTGATGCAAATTATCTATCTCTATGTCGGGATATTCCTCCTGTAGTCGACACACAACA